TTTAATTGGAGAGCCGTTCTACAGAGTGGGAATTGACATAATTGGTCCCCTCAACAAGCCAAGCAGACGTGGCTATAGATACATCTTAACTATGATAGACTATGCTACGAGGTATCCCGAAGCAATAGCTCTCACTAACATCGAGACTACAACTGTAGCTAATGCTTTATTGTCTATCTGGAAGGACTGGATACCCCAAGGAACTGGTATCTGACTTAGGGACCCAGTTTACCTCAAAGCTCATGACAAAACTGCTTGAGCTATGCGGAATTCGACATCTTACATCAACGGCATACCACCCCCAAACCAATGGGTTGGTTGAAAATCTGAATAAGACACTGATTAAGATGATGAAGTCGTATTGCCAAGAGAGACCATTTGATTGGGACATTAAACTTCAACAGCTATTATTTGCTTATAGAACCGTCCCTCAGGACAGTACCGGATACAGTCCTTTTGAACTGTTATATGGCAGGAAGGCTCGAGGACCGTTGGATTTGGTTAAAGAATACTGGGAAGCTAGCCCAGTAACAGAACCGGTTCCTGTAGATGATTATTTGAGAGATCTTCAATCAACAATGTGGTTAGCCAGAGACATTGCACAAGAGCATCTAACTGCAGCACAACATCGGCAAAAAGACTATTACGATGCAAAGGCCAAACCAAGAAACTTCAATGTGGGAGACGAAGTCCTGTTTTTGTCGCCCAACAGAACCAGCAAGCTTCAACTAGATTGGTCGGGACCATGGAGAGTCACCAGAAAGCACAACCAAGTGAACTATGACATCTATGATGAACATTTAAATGTTGAAAGGAGAGTCCATGTAAATATGTTAAAACCTTATGTTGTAAGGTCTGCGAATGTATGTTTTGTTGTTGCGGAAGAAGAATCCGGTCCCTTTTCTTTTTGGGAGGGTGATCGTGAACAGTGTAAAAATTTGGATCGGGTAGATATGAACATAGAATTGTCTAACAAGCAGCGTAGAGAGGTCGTAGAAGTGTTAAGTAAATATAGAGGCATATTTTCGGATTTGCCAGGATAATGTGAAAGGTACAAATAATAAGTTATTGAGATAGAGTTTGTGTTTGCAGGATTTTATGTTTCAGGTAAACGTAATGTGGTTGCGGACGCTTTGTCTAGGATTTCATAGGTTAAAGGTTTGTATATATGTGTAATTAAAGTGTAATTAACCATAATGTGTTTCCCTTTCAGGAATGTTATGTATATGTATTTATTGTTAAGTAATATGTGAAGTTATTTTTGCCAATTCTAGGACTGAGAATGGTGCAAAAATACTTTTTCTGGGGGGGAAGGTGTAGAGAAGTGTTTATTATACTGTGTTTTAAACTGTGTTTATGCTTTACATTGTAGCCATAGCCTAGCTGAGAGAGATGGGTTGCCATGGCGACAGGTCAGAGGAGGTGGGCGGAGCTTAAGTAAGAAAGGTTTGAAAATGACAGTTTAAAGTCAGTCAGGCGGATGAGACCCTGAAGAGAGGAGCAGAGTCAATTGTGGCTCTGTGGAGTAGTGTAAATTCAATTAGTTCCTGGGATTTGTGAATACTGTTTCAGCTAGGAAGCTGAAGGTGGAACCTCGTTAGATTTCTTGAGTAAAAAAGAATCTAACAAGAGAGGGTTTAGAGATCCCAGTGGTGAAAGGCTGGAGATCGTTGGTTGATCTGGTGTAGGACAACCAGTTGTAAATATTCACAATAAGGAACATTGAAATATTAAGGTACCTCACTGTAGAAGAAGTCAAAGAATTGTAACATCATAAATGTATCTCAACTAAGCCATATTTGTAACCATCAATCTTGTGCCAAGTTCAACAGTTTAATATTGCAACAGTTACGCTCTGACATCAATAAACTTGTTCTCTTTTGTGTTTTAAAACCTGCCTCTTCCATTGATTCAACGTTTTGCACAATCCACACTACCAAAGTGGCCTCACAACTCATATAAGGATTAAAAGAGATTATATTAACAGTATTTCTTTACATTATGGTGGCAGCTTAACCTAGAAGTCTCAAATTCTCATTACATTTGTGTGGTGATCCTATTTAGTTGGGATTTCACGCCATTATTTTATTTTTGGAGACTTCCTCACATATTTCGGTGGCAGCAAGTGAACGGCTTCGAATTGTAGTAACAAGCGGTGGGACACGCTTCGCACATACCTTTACTGATTTTGCTACATCTCCCCCTCACTATAAATGTCACCCAATCTCTTCTTAGATTTTAACTTCCTGGGGAAAACACTATATAATTCTCTTACTCAAAATGTCCCATTCTTCTTAGATAAGAAGCATGAATGGGGGAAGTTAGACATAGTAAAACAAGAAATGGAATATATAAACATTGCAATACTCAGGGTAAGAAAATTAAAGTGGATAGGAATGGGAAATTTTGAGTTAGATAATTACAGAGTGCTTCATTCAAAATTATTCTCTGCAGCCAGCTTTTTCCATTTTGAACTGGAAGGGAATTGAATGAGGAACAGGACATTATACTTCTCAGAATTAAAAGTGTTATTTTGATCTCATAATGCCGGAAGATGCACTCACATGGGATTTGAAACATAAAAAGCCCTTTGAGACTGTGGCCTCTTAAAAAGCTTTTATCAAATTAATCTTTGCAATGTTAGTTTGTGCCTAGGCAACAGACAGGAGGCAGCAGGAAAATCAGCTGAACTTGTTTTTCCTTCTACAACATCAAGTGAAACTAAAAATGCTTTGATCTCTTGAAATCAAGAGAAACTACAGCAATAGAGAAACGGCAGGAGTTGTGAAATAATATCATCTCTAATTTTCACTGGACAGAGAGCCCTTTCTCGTGTATTGAGGACATGCATTTAATAAACAGTGTCCCAGTAAGAAGCTATATTAAGTTGAAAAATAATGCAGCATGGTAAGTTGCCATTTCAGCATCTCAATGATTTTTGTTCAGTGTGTATAAGCCTTTATAAAAGCTATAGAAGAACATATATGACAAACAGCATTTATTATTGGCTTGGGATAGTATACTAGATGATGAACTTCAGTATAAGAGTTAGCTAACAAAGATGCAAAGTTGTTAGATTTGGTTTATTTGAGATAGAAGAAAAGGGTTTGCTACCTCTATGGTAGGATCTGAAGCAACTCAGCGAAAATACCATTAACTTTATGAGAATAAAGGAGTTGGTAGATAAATATTATTATGTTTGCTTTTTGATATTAATATACAAACAGAAAGTACAATGACACATTATTTACATCAGTGGTTGTCAACCTGTGGGTCCCCAGATGTTTTGGCCTTCAACTCCCAGAAATCCTAACAGCTGGTAAACTGGCTGGGATTTCTGGGAGTTGTAGGCCAAAACACCTGGGGACCCAGAGGTTGAGAACCACTGATTTATAGAATATATAATAGTTTTATATCATTTACCCCCCCCCCCCCCCCCCCGAGTGGCCAGAGTGAAGAGAGAGGGGAGCAGAAGACAGTTGTTTCCTGCCTATATCATCAGTTGGAAGCCCCCCCTCCCCCGGCACCAACTGCTGTTCTGGCCAGAGTGGAGAGAGAGGGGGCTACAGTTGAAGACAGTTCCATCTGGGTTGTTGTAGGTTTTTTCGGGCTATATGGCCATGGTCTAGAGGCATTCTCTCCTGACGTTTCGCCTGCATCTATGGCAAGCATCCTCAGAGGTAGTGAGGTCTGTTGGAACTAGGAAAAAAGGGTTTATATATCTGTGGAATGACCAGGATGAGACAAAGGACTCTTGTCTGCTGGAGCAAGGTGTGAAGTTACTCTAAAATTACAACAGCACAACAACAGAGAGGAAACAAACAAGGACATCTAATCACCTCTCAACAAAAGTTTGCTCCAGGCACTGTCAGGCCATTATATGCTAATCAAGGTGGTCAGTTGAAACATTCACACCTCGCTCCAGCAGACAAGAGTCCTTTGTCCCACCCTGGTCATTCCACAGATATATAAACCCTTTTCCTAGTTCCAACAGACCTCACTACCTCTGAGGATGCTTGCCATAGATGCAGGCGAAACATCAGGAGAGAATGCCTCTAGACCATGGCCATATAGCTCAAAAAAAACAACAAGTGATTCCAGCTTCCTTAATCTTGTCCACAAGGGACAGGCAACTGTCTTCGTTAATTGTTCTTATACTTTGAGAGGAAAACCCTTTTTTAACCTCTCCCAGGCTGTCTGTTATCTAAGTTTTGTTGGTGTGGGATCTACTACTGATTCCAAACTGCGTCTTGATACCAGACAAAGCTTCTCAGCTGGAGTTCTTTGGGTCTGTAAAGCTGTTTTCCCTCTGGAATTTCTTTAAGACTTTAGGGCTGTTTCCCTCAGATGCTGTAAGGCTGAGAGGCTGCAAGCTCCCAGCCAGAGCTTTGGGAATTTCCCCCCGGAATGTCTTGAGAAATGAAGCTTTTCTGCAGGTGAAGCTTGTCCACATCCTCTAACTTAGCTTTCCTCACTAAGACTAACTAAAAATGGCCCCCTCTTCCCTTCCCATCTCCCTGGGAGAAGGGGCAGATCCAAACTTAACAATGATAGACAGGTGGCTTGCCCTATGACTGCAAACCAAAGGAAGCCACCTTTTTGCTTCCTTTGAAACTTTGGAATGCATACAAACACTTAATAGAAAGAAAATAAAGTTGGAGCTCCTGGTACAGACGTATCAGCACACCTACGCAACTATGACTCTAAAAGAAGGTTCTTAATGTTAACAATATGTGTTTCTGGATTGAATGTTTTTTCACTCTTTTTACAATATGGAAATAACTTGTTAATCTCTATCCTTCTTGCTTTGTAAAGACTGTTTCTGCACGGGTATCCATCCCTCTTCCCTCTTCAGCAAAGATGCCATATCCTTGTCCTCTCGCCTCCCAAAACAATTCCAATTAGCCAATAACGGTGCTACAAGTATAACATGACAGTGATACAAGAACAAGTATTGATTAAAACAAAAAGCCATTTTTAAAAACAGCATTAATTCTTACCAGCCGCAGTCGTTATTGATTCTGTGTCAATGTCGTTAGCCTTTTTCTTTGCCACTTCAGCTAGTGCCAATTCATCCTTATCTAGTGCAAAGTAATGGATGTCCTTTGGAAAAAAAGCAAAATAAAAGATTAATCTAAAATGAATCTTGGGCAAGTAACAAAGGAGAATTTGAAAGGAAAAAGGGCTTTTTATTGCTTAGATCAGAAACACAGATGAACGTGATGAGGCTATATTTATAATTTTCTCAGTGTTGCTCTCTTGAAATGCGGGTTTATTATCCTCTTCGTACTTCTGTTCTGCCACAAAGTAATGAATAAAGTGTTAATTATGAACAGAAAGAACAGAGCTCTCAACCCTGCATTCGAACCAAACCTTGAATAGCTGCTTTGGGTGTTGTTTTTGTATGAGTGAGCAAATCCAGTTAGATATAGGAAAAGCAGAGAGATAACACAGTGAATATATGGCTGAACCCAAACTGTGAAGTGGCTGAACATAATGTAGCAAAGAATGCATATGATCAGCAGTAAGATATATCTCTTTCCCCATCATTTCCAGGCTGTGGTTACTCTTTATCATTAGTTTTTCATATCTTTCCCATATGAGTCAAACATTAAGATCTTTGAGAAAGATGTTTCTTTTGATCCTGCTACTCTCAAAAGCGTATGGAGGGGGGACGGGGACATAAGGCAATGTCTTCTTCAAGGTCACTCTAGACCAGGGGTCCTCAAACTTTCTAAACAAAGGGCCTGGTCACAGTCCCTCAAACTGTTGGAGGGCCGGATTATAATTTGAAAAAAACATGAATGAATTCCTATGCACACTGCACATATCTTATTTGTAGTGCAAAAAACACTTAAAACAATACAATAATTAAAATGAAAAACAATTTAACAAATATAAACGTATTAATATTTGAATGGGAAGTGTGGGCCTGCTTTTGGCTGATGAGATAGGATTGTTGTTGTTGTCGTGTGCTTTCAAGTCATTTCAGACTTAGGTTGATCCTGAGCGAGGGCCGGATACATGGAGGGCTGTATCCGGCCCCCGGGCCGTAGTTTGAGGACCCCTGCTCTAGACTTTAGAACTTTCTTCTATCGAAGATAGGCTTTTTGTTTCCCATTCTTTCAACAATGTTTTATTCCAACACCCTATCAGAGATGGTTTTGTCAGTTTCTTCTTCCAAAATATAGATGAAAGAACCTGGCCTTCATAATCAGTCTTTCATTTGAGTACTAACCAGCCTGACCCAAAGTAAGTTGCAAAATCAGATGGGAACTGCTCCCTTTAGGGTATTTAGTCCAATACCATTTCTTTTTGCTCCTTTATTGCTTTTTAATATCTTTATTCTCGCCCCCTCGCGCTTGCCTGCTTGACCACCCCTTGTTCGTTTGCCCGACCCCTTGCTCACTTGCTGCTCACTTCTCCCTTGCCAACCCCTCAGTTCACTCACCGCTTGCCTGCTCCTTCATACACTCACTGCTTGCCCACCCCCATGCTCATTCGCCACTTGCTCGCCCTCTTACTCACTCATCACCTGCCCACCTCCGTTGCTCACTCATCGCTTCCCCTGCCCCTCTTGCTCTTTCAACACTTGCCTGCCCCCGTTCACTCGTCGCTTGCCTACCGCCTCACTCACTAATCACTTACCTGCCCCTCTTGCTCATTCGCCACTTGCCTGCCCCCTGGTCAATCATTGCTTGCCCCCCCCCCGGGCACTCACCACTTGCCTGCACCTCTTGCTCACTCATCACCTGCCCACCTCCCTTGCCTCACAACCTCTGAGGAAGCTTGTCACAGATACAGGCAAAATGTCAGGAGAGAATGCTTCTAGAACATGGCCATATAGCCCGAAAAACCTACAATGACCCAGTGATTCCGGCCATGAAAGCCTTCGACAATACATTGTCTCTTCCTTGCTTTCTTTTTTGTGGCAGGCAAAGACATTCCTAATCAAGCAGTTTTTAAATGTAAGCAGAAGAGCTTTTTATGGAGATCCTTTATTCCTTTTAACTTTGTGCATGTGTTTAAAATGCTTTTAATACTGTTTTATGTGTTGTTTATAAGATTAATATTTTTAATTGTTTTAGAAGCTGCCTTAGATCTCACTCCGGGAAAAAGGCGGAATGCAAATGCATGGTATGTGTTTATTGAGACTGGGTACCAAGTAGCAATTGATTTAATTACCCTCTTGGCCCGGACAAACATTTATGTTTTATATTTTAATGTTGATTGTTTTTAATGGCACTTTTATGACTGTATGACATTGAACTGTCCCAACCTTGAGTTGCCATATGGCTGAGAAAAGCGGGCTATAGATATCGTGAATTCCACAGGTGAGGGCCATCACCGAGAAGGCCCTGCTCCTCGTCCCCACCAATCTCACTTGTGATAGAGGTGGGGCTGAGAGCAGGGCCTCCCCAGAAGATCTTAAACTCTGAGGCGGGACGTAGAGGGAGATGCTTTCAGACAGATATGCTGGGCCGGAGCCGTATAGGGTTTTGTAGGTCAAAACCAGTACTTTGAATTGTGCTCGGAACTGGATCGGCAGCCAGTGGAGCTGACATAACAGAGGGGTGGTACGTTCCCTGTATGACGCTCCGGTGAGTAATCTCTCATAATCACTCATAAAAAACACTGAAAAACAAAGGAAAAGAGACTTAAAAAGCCAAAAAAACCACACAAAACACATATACACAGACTGGGTCACAGCAACGCATGGCAGGGGATGGCTAGTAAATAAATAAATAACATAGTTTTGCATGATCTTATTTACCTGGGGTAAGCCATCAAGCAGCAAATTGTACTTCTGACCTTTCTTAATAACCATGCCACTACTGATGCACCAACATGACACTTATTGCCATCAGAACTTCAAAGCAATTGCTGTTGTGTCTTTTCAAGTTGTTTCTTGGTGATGGCAACCCTATCATGGGATTTCCTTGGCAACATTTGTTTCGAGGGAGTTTGTCTTTAAGGCTGAGAGAGTGTGAGTTGCTCAAGGACATCTAGCAGATTTCCATGGCTGAGAAGGGATTCAAGCCTTATCTCTAGAGTTGTGGTCCAATGCTCAAACCATGATGCCTGGCTGGCTTTCTTTAAAAGGATACTGGCCCTTAAAAGTCTAGAGCGGAGTATATAGTGAGAAAGAGAAGATACGTAGCTTCCACAGTACTGTTACCAGTTCTTCCTATTCAAAGTAAGGAAATACAGAATAAAATATTCCTTTTTTACATCTGGGAGGAAGACAAATGAGGAAAAAAAGTGAGATTTATTTTCCTTGTTGAAGGAAGCGTAAACACTACATATTTTATTGCTGAAAAGAGCTTGGTGTCTGCCCTGCTTAAAATTTCATACATGCAAACACATCCCGTACCTGAAAGGTGCTAGAATAAACTACATTGTGTTGCTTCTTTGGTATCCTTAGTCTTATGTCTTTAACTATCAAGGGGTTTAATCCTTGGATTTCCATTTTATTTGTGACTTGAAGACAAATAACAAATGACAACAGAGGATGGAAAGAAAAATCTAGTTAGTCTATTTTACTAAATCAAGTTATCTGAAATATAGCTTATGTCATTACTATGTGATGATAAAAAAGGGAAATATTCCTTTGCTTCGAATGTGTTATCTGCGAAGCCTCAATCACTGGATTTGTTCCAGGTGGTAAGTAGTCTGGTTAATCCAGACTGTCTTCACTTGGCTGCTGATGCAAGTCTCTCCTGCTGTGAGAAAATTTCTGGTTTCTTTGCAGATAAAATCAATCAGATTTTGATTAAAATGTGTGCCTAGGCAAGGAAAGCGGTGTCTAAAGGGAGAAATATGAAGAGCTTGTCTCTGTGAATACTAGTGACTACCCTTTAAGCTGTGTTGCACAATGTGCTTTTGGATCTTCCTTTCTGCCTGACTTGAAATTGTGTGCATGACTTCAAGTCTCCTATCAATTTAGGAGAAGCCCATGAATTTCATTGGGTTTTCTTAGGCAAGGAATACTCAGAGGTGGCTTTGCCCATTCCTTTCTCTGAAATATAACATATAGCACACAGAATTCATTGGAATTCATTCACATCCAAGTACTAGCCAGGGTTGAAGGGCCTCTACATGTAAACTTTCTAAGATTGTAAAAAAGTATGGCACCTCTTTCTTAGAAAAGAGGCATGCACTCTATCATCCTGTAGCACAAATCACAGCTGGGATCCAACAAATAAACCTATACATTAAAAACTGAACTCTAAAACCAAATTTCTCAAGGGGGCATTAGAAAAGAGTGGTACAACAACTTTGGGGGCATCTACATGTGCCACACATGGGGTACCAGTGATCAGTGTTGCCATTGCTCTGCATGGTCAGCCACCAAGCTAGCTTGAGGTCAGGATGGTGTCTGCATGGTCCAGTAGTGCCAGAACTGGTTTGACATCACCATTGGTTCAGCACTGCCAGGTCACCACCCTTACCTTGTCCCTGCTGTCCTGGATATGCAGGCACAAAAATGGTGTGTGTCACTTGGTGCCTCTAGTGATGCTAAGCAGAGTGACAAAGTGATGTGACAGCAGGGAGGACTTTGCCACTTCAGTTTGTCATCCCTTGAGCAGAGTGATGAACACCTCAATTTTTGTGCGCAGTGCTCATGACAAAGGTCAGAATGATGGGGGCCTGGCTGTCCCTGGGCTTCGCAAGTTAAGGAAAAGTGGGATGGTGGTGCAAATAACCACAGCTACTTTCCAAATAGGAAGCAACACAACTGTTTATATTGGCCCAAAATATGGTTGAGCTCTGGAGCATTCTGCAACTTAATGCATAACAAGGCAGCGTTAAGCAGTCTTCTCCCATGTCCTGGCAAATGGACATTATGGATTCCATTCACTCCTGGACTGACTCATATGAGTCATGCAGATGGGACTTTTGATGGCTGCAGAAGTAGGAGTGAATTATGAAAATGACATCCTCCACACACATCAGGAGGAGCATGTTAAGCTGAACAGCGTTTGCTTAGTACACTTGTCAGTGGAAGAGCATGACTTCAACCTATAGAACCAATTTAACATAACAAAAACTATATATAATTTCTATTGAGATAATGCATTTAAAAATACCTATCAGCTTTC